GGAGGGCTCCGGAAATTTAAACCACCTGGGGTTATTTAACGTGCACCCAAATCTGAGCACACGGGCCTACGACATTTCTGCCTCCATCGGAAGCACAGCCGCCGCAGCCGGGATTCGAACCCGCGCCCTGCGGGTCAGCAGCTGAGTACCTTAGCCACTAGACCACCAGGGCGGGGCAGACAAACTTAAGTCTTTTTCTCCACGCGACGATCGTTATCAAAAATTAAGCGTGCAGGCGATCGCAGATGCGACTAATCGTGCGGCCGGCGGTACACAAGGAGTGACTTACTAGCACGATGAAAGAACCCTGCCTGCGAACGGTCTCGTCGCTGTAAGTATACAGATATCTACATCACTCCGTAAGACACCGCGAACATGGGACACTTACCTATTGTTCATTTGTGACAATAAAATAACGACGACACAAAATTCCACGTGAGCCGCATGTTGCCATCACCGGTGGGCGTTTAGCCGTACTCGTCGTAAGCCTAGCAACGCCGTCGGCAACCAGACACGGTATGGCATCGGCGGGGCACCTGGCTCATTCGCCAGCTTTCCCGCATAAGCGCCGCTGCTATGTTTGTGTTTGCGGACACGTGCGCTAGCACTGCGAGCGATGGTTCGGCCGACATGATCGAATGCCAGCTGATAATTCGTATTCTCGGGCTGGAGGCATGCTGAAGATTAGATGGATCCATATTAAAAGATCGGTGCGCATCGGTGCGCATCGGTGCTACGAATTAGTCCATGTAAATTTTCGCGTTATGGTGTCAATGTTTATTGTTTTCTTAAGCCGAGTAAAAGTCGCCCACTGGCACTAGATGGGAGGTCAAAATACTGTGCTATATATACACGATAGTCTGTTCTTTGTAGTATAGCGCGGGCAGTCATTGTTTGTGGTGTTTTACTTTAAAATAATGGTGCATATGTGTATGTGTGTGTGTGTGTGTGTTTTGCATGAATAACGTACTATGTTCTTCGTACTATGCGTACTATGCGAATAACGTACTATGCTCCACAAACGCAGTGTCGCCATTTTTTTTTTGTCATTGGTCCAGACGGTTCAACTGTTAGTCCCACTGGAGCATTCTACTGGGACCAACATTTAAACCAAGTGGGGTAAGTGCTTGGGGTAACAGTTGAACCCTTGCAGTTACTCCCGCAGTTAGTCCAAAATTGGTCCAAAATCTGTGGCAGCGCATTTAGTCCACAAATGGACCAATGGCATACCCCACTTTAGTCCTTTTCGGCTTAGAGTGTATGACGCGCTCCGCGCTGTCTTTATGTCATGGCCACTGCTGAGCAGGCTCGGAACAAACTGAGAAGCTCGGGCCATCCGGCATCGCACCCCTGGTGTGGGTGGAATTGATTGCGAGTGAAAGATCGCCGTTGGTCTGTGAGAGAAATGTCTGGATTGGTGCGATTACTGCAAGTGACAAATAATCAAAACCGGGTATTTGAGATGGCCTCAAGAACAGGTCTTCTGCATCGTACCAAAGTATTTTAACACAAAGCCATGCCCGCTGCGCGCAGACGCGCGCCTTGCGGGACCACAATAAAATTTCGCAACCAACCGACCGACAGAGCCACGCCTCTTCTTGCAACAATTAAAAAAAATATACAGGCGGGACGTAGTGCGAGCACAAAATGTAACACTATGACATCATGGGTCGAACAATTTGCTCAAGCAATTTGTCGGAAAGCGTTTAGCATGAACGTTTCCCTCCTGCAGTGCACAATTTAGGCATGCAATTTACTTGTCCTGCCCGATTGGCTTCATAGAATAGCGCAATTAAACGTGTACGCAGCTGCTTACAATCCGACCCTTTGGTCAGTGCCAATGGCGCAGTTAGGCAAATATATATCACTTCAAGTATACCAAAGAGGGCTGCAGATTACACCGAAGCGACAATCGGTTTATAGTTATACTGATAGAGATTTTAGGCTCTGTGTTGTCATTTCATTTAAGAAATATGAGCATTCATGTGCGTCTTGCAAAATAATGAACCCTAGAAGTGAAAAATGAAATCACGTCTGCCCTTTCTCCTTCTTTCCTATGGGCACACCGAAATGCATAACAGCAGAGTTTTTGATCGTTGAATCCGCCAAGGTGGTTTAGTGGTTACTGTTCTTGGCAGATAATCCAAAGATCACGGGATGGAATCCCAGCCACGGGGGCCACATTTTCGATGCAGGTGAAATGGATTGAGGACCATGTAGAAAAATTTATATGCATGTTAAAGACCTCCGGATAGTGGAACTTTCCGGAGTGGTCAACATGGCGTCCCTAATTATCACATTGTGGTTTTAGAATGTCAGATCTCATCAATTATTAATGTAGATTGCTGGAACATCTGGAGCTTCCTTGCGGCAATCGCGACAAGCTGATTGCTGGGCAACTCATGTTGCCATTAGGTTTGCTTATATTTGAATTTTCATTTGGGAAGGATCATTTTATGACATGTATAGTGTTTAAGAAAGGTCGAAGATGCTTGTATGAATTTATGGTAGGTATGGTGGTTGTCACCCAAAAGACGGTGCTATATATAGTGTTCAAGTACGACCAGGCCGAATCGAACATCTCAGCCAACTGTCATAACTTTAGTCTGCAAAAAAACCGTGAGATTCAAAAAACCAAGTCCGGTACCTACCTTGTTCTCTCGCTTCCATTACAGTAGAATTATCTGCATATGTACTATCATTTCGTACTGCAGTGCTTTTCCCATCAAGTTCAACAGAACACACTTTGTATCGCACGGTTCTCGGTTTAGCGCCGTCGAACAACACCGCGATATAGAAAACGCAAGAACGCCATCTTGCTAATGCCTCGAATTTTCCGTTGTTCTGCATCATGCATTCGCGGCACACTTCAAGCAGTGAGCGCCATTCTCTATCAGCATTCGTGCTTCCACGTTATTGCTACAATAATTCATCCGTCGAGGTTTCGTCACTTCAAAACTTCATCAATGTCTGAATTTGCGTCCAGGTTAGTTTTTTTACAATATTTTTATTGCCCATCTCTTGCTCTGTAAGTCATATTTGGTAATTTTGTGTGTAAATATCATTTATCAATCAAACCACAGATGTTCAGGATCCCGCATATGTGTAATCTTGTTCTTTTGCAGCCTTTTCGAAAGCGTCTGCCAAATATGCCGAATAAAAGACAACATAACAAGACGGAGCAACTCCCTTCGCCGTTTCGCGATCGTCGCTTCATAATGCGTCACCCGCAGACGGCTGGCTCTTTTCACCTTTTAAAGCGTGCCCGTGGCCAGCCACCACTCGCACTCTTTTACTAGCGCCTTGAGGATATGAAGCGTGGGGTGATGCTATTGATTCGGTCTTTATCTGGAGCCCAATAGTAATGGTGACGGTAGAAATTCGCCCATAGTGTCAATATATTTGTTATCCTGATGACTGCTTCAGTGCCGAAATTTCTGGAGCCCTTTATATCGGCATTTATTATAACCATGTGGTGGTTTTCGGACGTTGAACCTCGACCTTTATTTGTTGCATTATGCATTTTGCCTTGCTTTATAATTCCTGTCAATCCCCTTTGTTCCTGAGAGGTTAACTAGAAAAGCACTTAGAAACAGTATTTCTAGATATTGAACTTTCACCGAATAATTATACTGATATGTTTTAGGGGCGAAGCTCCTTATAGCGGCACCCGTTCGTTCCTCGAAGCCGTTGTAGTGCGTAACAAGTATAACATTTTGACCTCCAAGGTGGTGCCGGGGAGAGATTTCTTCTGTGCGTTGTTGAACACTAAAAAATTGTGCTCAACGTACATGCCAATGGCTGCTAATGGGGAATGAGAGACAGGGGCATTCGACTTTAGTTAACGCACACGCTGCGACCCCCATTAGCAGCCATTGGCATGTACATTGAGCACTATCTGGCAAGAAAGGGTTGCTACGTTATACTTGCTGGGTGCAACCTCCTTAGTTTTAGAAAAGTTTAGCGAGCGTTGAGCCGCAGTGCCATGAATACAATGAACTAGTATACACGATGAACTCGAGGTGGTTAAAGGTGGGAAGTAGATACGAAGCGCACGCCGTAACAAAGTAAAAGCCGAATTCTCCTGTCTCTCATTTCCCATTAGCAGCCATTGGCATGTACATTGAGCACTATCTGACAGTAAAAGGTTGCTACGTTATATTCGCTGGGCGTAACCTACTTGGTTTTAGAAAGGTCTAGCGAGCGTTGGGACACAGTGTCATGAATACAGTGAACTAGTATATACTATGAACTGGAGGTGGTTAAAGGTGGGAAGTACACCCGAAGCGCAAGCCGTAAGAAAGTGTGCGTGTGCCACCTCTCGTTTAGTCCTTGAAACGTCCGCTGGATGGCGGTGCTTCTATATGGGGAATATATGATGAAAACATGCGAGAAGGTGGTACTTGGAGTGTTGAATAGATGGACGAACGGACACACAGGCAGATGCATGGGCGGACGCATGAACGGACGCAGGGGCGGATGCATGGATGAACGCAGAGACGGACGCACGAACAGATGCACGCACGGACGGGCGGATGGACGCATGGACGGTCACACAGATGGGCGATTGGACGGACGGAAGCAAAAACGAATAGACGGACGAAAGCTTTGCCACACTTTCCATCATTCACTCCGTGGACATGCTGCAAATTTATTTTAAAAAGTTGGTCACAATTTAGAGTATTTGGTACAGTGCTTGGGGGAGCATAAGCCGTCCCGTAAGCCTCGAGCTAAGTTGGTTCGTTTTATAATAATGGTTCATAGTGCGATGTTCTAGCTCGACCACTACGCGAGTGGTCATCATGTAAAACCCTGCTGCTGACATCATGTGTGAAAAAAGTACAGCCCACACGGAAGGTTAGTACCTGAATTAACATTCTCATAGAACTTAGTCTGTATTGCTACTACTCTGAAACTTCGTAGCCTTTATTTGCCGGCAACATTCTGAGCTTGTAAAAGGACGCCAACCAAGTACCACAATTTCATTCCATGCATGACAGAGACTGGGTGTGCGTATCGGTGAGCACATAATGGTGCGTGCACTCGTCGGCCACCGGCTCATCGTGCGGCCCTACACTCCCGTGAGTCCTTGCGACCGGCGCGGAACCTTCGACATCATCGTCAAAGTGTACAGGGCTGGCGTGTGTCCCCAGTTTCCTCAGGGAGGAGTGATGTCACAGTTCCTGGACAGTCTAAAGCCGGGAGATGATGTCCAGGTATGCTCGCTCCTTTCGTGTTGATGAAATATGAACTTTGGTCTTGTCATAGCAGCACATGCACAGTGTTGAAGCAGCCTCAACAGCGTATAGCTCAACTGATCACGGTTGGTGGGCGGGTGAGCTCTGTGTGATTTTGCACTTCACAAATACGACAGGAGGCCGGGGGAAATTCTCGGTAACACGTCCGGCAAGAGTTTCAGAACGTCGTGCGGCGTCTTCACAACTCCTCCGATTAGCCGCTGGTTCACGCGAAAAATCCCGCTCTCTTCGCAGTGTCACACGAATTTGCCGGGAATTAAATGTGAAGCCACCAGTCTTGTCGTTGTGCGTGCTACCACTTTTCCCGCAGTTCACTGTCTAGGCAGCAGAACGGAGACACGTAATTGTGATTTCCCTTTTAACAGGATCGACATCCATGTACGCTGAATGTACGCGATATCTTTTCAGATATTCACACACAATGCGCACAACACAAAACGTTTGATGAAAAACGTGTGGTGACATGCCACGGTTGCACCTAATCGCTCCGCCCACCCAACCTAAAATGATGTGTAGCAGGTAAGTCGAGACACGTTACCATATTTCATGTTCACACGTAATTTCAATGAGGGCACTATCTGATCAAAGATTGTGGAGAACCTGGACAGTGATCAATACATAGTCAGCATTTCCCTATTGACTCCAAAACTATGTAGGGTCATTGGAGTTGCCGTGAACACTGAGTGGGAAAGGTGGTGACGACGCAGTCCCCTACCTGACTTCGTACCGCAATAAATGGATGGATGGATGTATGGATATGGCTGTACCCTTTAGATCGGGCGGTGGCTAGCGCCACCAAGCCGTAATACTTAATAAACCAAAAACTGGATTTATTTTTTTTAATAAGTGAGTTTGAGGATTCGTACTTTGCAGTGAAGAGTTTAATTTTCACTCGTACCTTGACTTTAACCACCAATCAGATAACCTCCTTCTAGTTAAGTCTACCCACTTAAAGTCTGTTTTGCTCTCCCAGTCTCTAAACCCCAGTGCTTTGAAAAACTCTGCGCCATCATCCTGAGCTATAGGGTGAAGCCCTTTACAGAACATTATCAAGTGTTCGGCAGTTTCTTCTTCCCCTCCACACGCACTGCACACCGTGTCTACCCCTTCGTATTTGGCCCGATATGTCTTGGTTCGCAGTACTCCCGTGCTGGCCTCAAACAGTAGAGAACTACTCCGAGTATTATCATAGATCCTTTCCTTGGCAATTTCCTGCTTAAAAGTTCGATAGATCTATAGTGCGGACTTCTTAATCATGCCCATTCTCCACATGTCAGTCTCTGTTTCCTTCAGTTTCTTCTTAACCGATAGTTCTTTTTGGTTTGGGCACCTGCTGTTTTCTAAGTATTTACCAGTCAATTTCCTGGTTCGCTTCCTCCATTTTTTATCGACATTCTTCATGTACAAGTAGCTGAAAAACTTCCTAGCCCAACGCTCCTCCCCCATTTCTCTCAGTCGCTTCTCAAATTTTATCTTGCTGCTAGCTTCCCTGCCCTCAAATGGTGTCCATCTCATATCACCTTGTACTCCCTGATTTGGTGTATTCCCGTGAGCTCCTAAAGCAAGCCTACTTATTTCACGTTGCTTAATTTCTAATCTTGCTTGAACTTCTGATCTCATGCACAAGACCGCATTGCCGAACGTCAGCCCAGGAACCATGACCCCTTTCATATTCCTCTCACAACATCATACCTATTGTAATTCCACAGTGCCCTATTTTTCATTACTGCGGCATTCCTGTTACCTTTAGTCGTCACGTATATTTCGTGTTCTCTCAGGTACTCGGTCCCATTTCTTATCCATACGCCCCGATATTTGTATTTATCTGTTATCTCTAGCGTGAACTCCTGTATTCTAAGCTCACTACCTTCGTTGTCATTGAAAATCATGACTGCTGATTTTTCCTTACTGAATATAAAATCTAATCTATCTCCACCATTACCGCAGATGTCCCTCAATCTCTGCAAATCTTACTTGTTGTTGGCCATTACCACTATATCATCTCCGTACTATAACGCTGGTGGTGCCTGATCAATAAGTTTTCCTTGTTTTACGAAAGAGAGCTTTAAGCCAAGTCCACTTCCTTCTATTTTGGCTTCTAATTCTTGTAGGTACGTCATGAATAACAAGGGTGACAAAGGACACCCCTGCCTAAACCCCCGTTTCACCTCTGTGGGCTTGGACACCTGTTTTTCCCACTTTATAACTACCTTGTTACCTTTATAGATATCCTTTAAAAGATTAGTGACTACATGTTCCACGCCTAGTGTGTCCAGTATTCCCCACAATTCCTCTTGAACCACGCTATCGTACGCTCCCTTGATATCCAAAAATGCTAGCCACAGGGGCCTGTGTTCCTTTCCGGCTATTTCGATGCACTGCGTCAGTGAGAACAGATTGTCTTCCAACCTCCTGCGTTTCCGAAACCCATTCTGCAGTTCCCCCAGCACCCCCTCATCCTCTAACCATGCCTGCAGTCTTTCCTTTATAATCTGCATTTCCTTTATAATCTGCATGTACTATAAATAAGTACTGCCATCTAGCGGACATTCCAAGGACTAAACTCTCCTGTGACACATACCTCAGATAGGTGCATGTTGCTAGAGAGAACGATCGGGTGACGCCCTAAGGAACTTTGCTCTTTGAAAAGAAAAAAAAAGTCCAGGGCTCACTGCGCTATGCGAGTGGCGTCGTGAGTGCGTACTTTCGTAGGAGCATTGCGTTCAGTGTAGTTGGGGGGCGGTCCCTTTGGTGTAGATGGTGGGCGGCTAACGTAAGAGCTCACGTGTCGTGGAAGCTTTTTTTGGACCGACGGTCACGAATCAGACATTGATGGTCTGGGCGGCTGTGGTGGGAATGATGGCTGTCGTCTTTCTACCATCTGAGACAGCGTCCCGAGGCTCCAACGAGGTGCCGTGGAAGAAAAAGTTTCTTAAAGGCCCGTAAACCACCCAGAAGTCGAAATTCAGTTTTTTGGGGAAATTGTGCACAAGTTTACGACGAGCACGGAGCCGTCAGAATTTTTTAACGGTGCAGTAATAGCAAAATTAGACGCGTTTCATTATTGAAATCATGAAGACCACTCATTTAACTCTCTCCAGCGCTTCCCTCCACTGGTATCTTCTGCCAAGCTGATTTGCCGTCTCACTGAGCGCCCCTATCCACAGAGCCCCTACCAATCTCGTGTGGCATGCGTCATCGCTTACGCGCTGCTTGAAACGCCCTCTACTTCCGGTTGCCGTGACTCCAGCCGTAGAATCCGTCAGTTGCGCTGCAGCCGTGTGCTTGTTGTCGAACCACGGCTGCCGTAATTGTGCCGGTATAGGCGCTACATTGCGTGCAGGCCTTAAAAATATCGCCATTGCGATGGACCCGATGGAGACACGGTTACTGCAGTAGCTGCTCGTGAGTGGGCGCATGCATGCGGCAACATGACGAACGACAACGTGGAGAGCTGCTTGGAGGCTGACCGGAAGTCGTGGGTTCTTGCTCGATCAATCAGCATATTTGGCTCGGAGGGTCAGAGATATGGCATGGCGCGTCACGCGGAGTCTGCTAAGTGGTTATAGGAGAGAAAAGAAAAGAAAAGCGGGCCCCGTAACTGTCTGCTTCAGCGAGCGACACCTCAACAGTAGCTAACAAGGGAAGGGGGTAAGGAGGGATTAAAAGGGAGGAATGATGGTGTAGAGAGAGAGAAAAAGGCGTGAGGTGGTAAGCGATAGAGCGACGACATATCGAGGGGTCTAGGAGAGATAGAAAAGATGGAAACATGGTCACAGAAGTCCGACGACGGGGCGCCACTTGCGAGAGCTTACGTCGGCGTCAGTAGATTTCGTAGAGCAAGTCCAGTCGGTCAGAGCTACGCTGTCGTCGAAGGTCGCCGGCGTCAGGAGATGACGTAGGGCGAGCCCAGTCGGCCAGAGCTACGCTGACGTCGGAGATTGCGAGGGCACAACCGGTCGGCACGGAATCAAGCAAGCGAGTCCCCGTCACGCGGAGTCCCGAAAGGCTTGGAAAGGAAGAGGAATTGTTTCTCGGAATTTGTGGTGCACCGGCGGCTCGTAGCACTGCCACGTGTAGAATAGTTCATCGCGACGGCATTCTGCACACAATGCGTTTGTTTAGTTAAAATCTTTGCAAAAATATCGGAGGTATTTTACGCGCCCTTTCAGGACAAGTTTAGCTTTGAAAGGGAGCCAAACAGTGCCACCAAAACATGGAAATGGGCGTTTAAAGTGAATGATATTTTGTTCTGAGAATGAAAATTCGCGCTCGGGGCCTCTGAGTTGTGTATGCGGTGGCTGTTCTAGATGTCGGGATGATAACCATTGATTGGTTGGTAAAAAAGATAGAAATGAATGACAGTAGTACATAAAAGACTAGTTACACTGAAAGACAGAAAGATATTTTCAGTTCTATAGTCTTTCTCGCAGTTACAGGGCCGCCAAATCTTGGAAAGTAGATTCTCCGTGAGCGGTCACAACGTGGTTTATTTCGACGTTTCGGCCTAGAGTTTGGCCTTAATCAGGATTGAGAGTACAGTTTGTTGGTTCTCAGCTTTATACAATCTTGAATCATAGGGTTAGAGAGAGAAAGAGGGAAAAAAGCGAAAAAAAGAAAAAAAAGGAATAAAAAGAAAGACAAAAAGAAAAAACAACAAGAATAGAAGGTGGACTCCCCCGGGCGCCCCCTTTCACTCTTCCTTCCCCTTCCATATCTCTCCCCTTTCTCCTTTTCACCTTTAGGATGTTTGCGGGCTGTGTTTCCTTCTTTTTACTAACGCATTGTTCCCGACCAGATGGCGCCTCTTGGCTCTGGTGGTTCGAGCAGCACGCCCTCGTCCAGCAGCATGCTTTGGCAGTTCGAGCAGCATGCTTTGGCGGTTCCCTCGTTACCCTTATCCAGGTCGCTTGTACACCCTCCTGAAAATTCATAAACCCGGTAACCCAGGTCGACCA